GTGGTATCCCTATGGCAGTAGATTGCCCAACCTCCCTTTAAGGAGTGACTGGTAGGCTTGAACCACCAGCCTTCTAGTTAGCAGTCAAGTGCCTTAGGCACTACTCTACCAGAGCTCCCTATATGTAACTAGTACGATCCTATATATGGATAATCTTAAACTAACTGGAAACGTTATTCAAAGTAATATAATACCTCCTTAAGGTGTTAGATTGTACCATTTTCGTGTTTGTTTCAATTTCAACACAAGTGACATTGGGAGCTAGATAATCCTTTGTTGGAGGAGGGTGGCTGTCCTGTGTGCTGTGGGATGTTTGGCAATACCCCTGGCCTCTACGAGCTAAATGTAAACAACATCTCTTTCCCTCAATGTAAGAACCAAAGTTGTTTCCAGACCTTGCCAAATGTCGTCTGGGGCGTGGGGGAAGTATCATCCCTGGTTGTGTTGATTTATACAATTAATTGCTAAAATGCCATAATTTTCTTACATTAAAGAAGTGACCAATTATAAATTGTATTGGAAAAGTAATTTTGTTTACATTTAGATCTCCAATCCATCTAGAATTCCTTTGTGAATGGTGTGAGGTAGGGATCTAATTTTACTTGTTGATGGTTTGTAAGATTTTGATGAGTACATTTGGTATATTTGAACTTGCCAATTTGAAAGTTTTGCTGATCATTTCTAATGTTTTTCAGTAAATTCTCTTGGATATTTTAGATAGATGAGCCTGTCATCTGCAAAAGATGACAATTTTGTCTAAAAAGGACCTTTCTTCGGAGAGGGTTTAAGTTTGTGCTTAAGTGTGCAGCCACTTTGGTATCACTTTTATTTCTCTCCCTCTTAGCCCAGAAGATTTATAAGTCTTTAGATCCTTTTCATAATCACATTAAGCATAAGCCTGTTGGTCAAAAGCAGCTTTGAGCATTCTGCTTGCTTCTCTGAGTTCTCACTCCAAAAATTTTAGCCTGGAAAACCTTCCTATATTGTCATATCTTTCACGATTTTATAAAGATTTCATATTTATATGTGGAGAGCCCTACGTCTTAAAGGACTGATGGGACATGGTGAGTGACTAATTGAGCAATGGCTCCCAGAATTAGGTTGATACTTTCAGTGTCCCCATAAGGACTAGGACTG